CGTTGTCTTAGGCCGGCCTACCGCCCAATTCGAGCGCGTGGCAAGATGTGACCGTCCGGCGATCGATATTGCTATGCGCACATCTCGCCACGCGCTCGAATTGGGCGGTAGACCGGCCTAAGACAACGATTTTTAATAATTAATTACTCATTAACTATTACGAAAATTGCAAAATGGTACAGGACTTTTCCGTTCATCTCGATCCGTTCTACCTTCTCAAAAATTTTGTCGAATATGGAAAAACTCACCCTGTAGAATAACCAGAAGAATCGATTTATGCCAAATAAGCTACACAATATTACTAAAAATCGCTTGTATCACAATCTAATTAATTTCTCGACGAATGTTTATTGAATATTGTTTCGTCGCTTTAATGAGTATTTAAGTGTTTAAAAATATCTTTTATGCTATACTTAAATAAATTAAACAATAAAAGAGCAATAAGTATCTGATATATTTGTCTCGTAAAAATCTCAACAATATCAAAGGTCTTTCAAAACATATTTGAATTGATTGAAAAGTATTGCAATTTAATACAATAATTCGGATGAATTCCACAAATTGAAACTCTCGTCACAATTAGTTTGCTCACGTTTGGGATCGTTTGGTTTCTGAAAAGGGCAATGGCCTTCGGGTGGAATCTAGTGACATGGCAATGGCGTTTCTCTTCCAACCGATTTATTAGCTTCAACCGGTTCTACTATTACACGCTGCGGCCAATATTTCGAGCAGATTATCACGCGGAGAAGCGGTCCCGCGAAAACACACGGGTCGGAGTAAAAAGCGAGCGTGGTGAAAGGAAAATAAGCGATTTATCCGCGCGGGTATATACTCGTGCGAATAGATCTTAACACTTACGGATTCTCTTGGGCTTTACGTATTTGCACAAGTGATTAAGCTCGTCCTGCTGGTAGACCGGTCGTCTGACCATCAATTCTGGAGCAGTCATCGACATATCGTCGCTCAAGTAGTCTGCGAACGAGCAACAATTGAATAAGATCACGCTCTGCGTACGCGCGCGCGTGTCTGCGTATGTGCGCGCATTGTCACGTATTTTCGGCAGACGCTAATTAATAAATTACTGTGTTTGTCCACCATCGGACGATGTGCCCGACTTGAAGGAACTTCGACTTAGCTCGTAATGCGGGACGTGTCTTTTTAATTGGATAATTTAGGGACACAAGCGGTAGTTTCCCATACAGCACGCATGTCTAAAAGACATCTCTAAGACGTCTCTAAGTCGACTTAAAGATGTCTTTTAGACAGGCGTGCTGTGTTATGGGTTTTCTCATAATACTAAAATGCAAAAGGGGACTGTACTTAAAAACATAAAATTTTGACATTTTAATACAGGAAGTTGTATACGAAGAAAGGTATTAGTTTAAAAACCGAATTAATAATGTAACATAAAAATTTCTGGATAACTGCTAGCATAACTGCTAGTGACGCCAGAAAAGCTAGGATGTAATTCAGGTTACGAGTCACATGGAAAACGTCTGTTTTTGTAGATGCACTTATTTATACAGGTGTGCATATATCGTGCTTAATGATGCGTGTTTCATCGAAGTGACGGGGACGTAATCGCCAGGAAAGCTCATACATACGGCGAGTGCAATTTATCAATCTTGAAGAAATTTTCCGTCAAGTTAAAGTTGGCGTAAGCAAATTTCGTTTGCTCGATGTAAACCGAAACGAGTATTGTGAGGAGATTAGTTTCGCGTGGTTGGCATTGTCAGAAGAAATTGATCGTGTAAACAATAAGGCAGCTGAGTGATGTGACAGGATTGTTTGACTTGATCATTCGATAAATTATAACGGCAAATATTTGAGGCAACTGTTTTTGGAAAAATTTAAAGTAAATCGCAACGCGTGGATTGAGTTGATTTAGATTTTTCTATCTACTTATGTAGATAGAACAATGTCGCTGATTATGAAAATTGATAAATATAAAATATCTATTTCTCATAAATGAATAATTGAAAAGTTTCGATTTGTCCGTAAAATGAATAATTGCCGATTGTGTCTCAACGTAAGCACCAACTTCGTAATTAAAAAAATATATATAGAAAATCTGCCACCATTTTAATCAGTGGACTATCGCTAAAAACAGGGGATATCCGCGGATTCGCAGTTACGATGCACTCATTTAAAATTTACAGTAAAGTTAAATGTAATAACAGTAACACTTTTCGTAATCGGTAATTTTTATGCTAAATCGTACGTGTTCGAAGACGGGACGGATTGAAAGCTGAGTGTAAGTTTGCGTGTTCGCGATTAATTCAACAGCCGACAATAATCATCAGTTGCAATCGATTATCCGATACACGACGCTAGAATTATTACTATTTCGATCACAAGCTACCTGTTGACATCGCGAAAATGTGCTCTCTCGCGGTATCTCGGGGACTCGGCGACGTGATAAGCGCGAGAACTTCCACGGACCAAGAAGATCTGATAACTAAGCGCATGCATGCAACGATACTCGTAGATACTGGTAATTGGCCGATATCCTAATTCAATATTTTCAATGGAGATAATTTTTTATGTGGATAATACGCGGCTGTGTCACCTGATACACACGGCTTACTTTCAAGACATTTACATTTCTTATTGGGGTTCTGTCGAGCGTCGCTAATTGGTCTCTGAGATAATAGATAAGCGAATTGTGAATCGCGACGGGACGATTGATGTTACATCAATAGAGAGATACGCCTGGAGAGTCATCAAACGATTGGGTACAGTAGCGGGAGGGAAGGACTAATCAGAGAATGTCACATGAGAATATCTTGAATATGGCACAGTAATTGTGTACTACTTACGATGACACAATAACCATAGGAGAAACAATGACGCGTACGAGCTTTATCACGATGTAATCTTAATCGATCATTGTCAATTGCCACTTCACCGTGGATACACGCGCGGTCGCGCTGAATGGAACTCTAGTGGTACATAAGCTATCGTTACCCGGGAGAAAATGAACATATAATCTCATTACACATATTACGGGATAGCTGGTTTTCAACACCCAAATTTAATCGCAAATCTTTTCTCGCAGCGATTATACAAGCGCTGAAAAAGAAAAATTTCGCTAATCATGGTTTGCTTGAAATATTTTGCTGCCGTAACTATAAATTTCTAAACCACAGCAAACGGTTTTTGCTATCGCATCTAATACGATAGGCGCAGTAGCAAAATATTTAGCTATCACAACTAAATATTAGCTGTCCATATTTTACAACTGAAATTTAGTTGCCACAAGCAGTTTTTAGCTGTGGCAACTACATTGTTCTTTCCGTGTAACTAACAATGAATTTTTCATCAAACAAACTTCGACCGAAGGGCAATGAATTCGTGGTGGAATCAACAGACGATGCCTGTTAATTTAACAGAAACACTATCTCATATTGGGAGGCTATCTCATAATAGGGAACTTTCCCCTATCTGTCTCAATCGTGTAATTATATTCGATTCTAAAATCATCAGATCTTCAGAAATACCCGCGCACTGAGAAAAATGACCGATTAAATATAATCGGATAATCCAATTACATAATAACAAACGGATATATCCAATTAAATTGTATATCCAATTAAATTGTATATCCGATGAAAAATATGATCGGTTTTCCAATCAAATTTCATCGGTAACTTCATCGGATAAATTTCATCGGATGTATCCATAATTTAATCGGAACGCGTAATCGGAAAAATTAACCATCGGAAACGCTATTTAATTGGTTTATCCGGTGGAAATTTTTCTCAGTGCGGGGAAAAAATGAGAAAATCTCTAATTACATCTCAGGAGATTCAATTCTAAAATTCATCAGAGCTTCAGAGATCCGACGCTTTTCTTGAATATACGAAGTTATATCTATTGAGATCTAAGTGAACGTCTTAACGGGATATTTAATTATATATTTAGGGTTAATTAGATTTCAGGTTCCAATCCTGGCTGAGGTGTTATTTTTCGCAATAGACTTTAAATTAAAATTATAATATTTAGATACTAACATCCTGTCTTGGCTCTTATTCCTTTATTACTTTGTATTTGTGTTTTCACATCAGAGCCTTATGAATTTTATCAATTGTTTTAATCAGATTTAGTTGGATCTCAACAGACAACCTCGGACATTCAAGAAAAGTGTCAAATCTCTGAAGATCTGATGAATTTTAGGATTGGCTGTAATGAGATGTAATATTATATTACATGATTGAGACAAGGATAATGAGATTATTTCCATTTTTCTCCCGGCTATTTCTTTATCGCAGTTAGTCGTATTATGAGGTGAGACGCAGAATACGAATTTCGTAATTTCACGTGAAACAGCGCGACGTGCAAGAAGATAAGACGTTTGCGTAAGAAGCTGAAGCACAGAGAAATCGTGTAATACATTTTTCTAATTATTGCATAGATAGTCCTATTTCTTTAACTTAAGTACCTTTATTATTCTTGTAAAGAATCTCTGATATTCGTCTTCTTTTCAAGAATAATAAGCAGAGACAAGGTGAAAATAGATATTTTGCATTCGCTAGTGTTCGTTCCATTTCGCCAGTTTTAAGTAATTTTGTGATTTGATGAAACTTGTGTTGAATTATATAATTCAGCAATGTGAAATGTAATGAACAGTTTTTGCACCTTTATTTATAAAAAGAACATTTAGCTCTACGTATAGACCTGCAAAACCTTTTACGGTAAAAAGTAGATTTTTCAAATATACACAATAAAATTTATATATTTCTCGCAATAAGTTCTTTACAATTTCTTTCTAAACGACACTTATTTAGGAATATTATTAACTTGATTATTTGAATGATTAAATTGATTATTAATTTAGAATTTATGTATTATATGTTTTGTCGACTTTATAGCTTAAGGCTTGTGTTTTAAGACCTCAGGTTATCGACGCGCAATTTGCCGTGTTGAAAAACCGTGCATACACGGAGAGAATTTGTTTTAATTTATCCTAAAAATTATGTAATCGTGGGATAACACGGCATTTTTATTAGTTTTTTATTTTAACATATATTTCACTAGTAATTATACTTACAATTAGTATATATTTTACTAGTAAAATGTATGGTAAAATTTCAATGAACTCTCACAAAGTTCTTCGAATTGCGATTTTCAGGATAAATTTCAAGAGAAAATTCTCTCCGTGTACATAAAAATTTCATACTAAGATCCTGCTCAATTGTATAAGGTTTGTATTATTTCTATTTATATTACTTTCATATAAAACAGCGAAGGATGAAGTTTACGTGTTACTATAAATTGTTCATACTTTATTACATCTTTTCCGTAAAGTATAAACTCGGTCGTGCGATTGCGATAAACCTTGCAATTGCAATTTTATCACGTCGTGACGAAGCTGTACACATTGCGTATAATAAATTCGCCAGTCGTAACATTTATCATTTTTTGTTCCGGAGTAATCAAAACTCACTTTTTAGACGTAAATTTATCGCAGGCGTCAGGTACCGAAACTAAGCTATGCGACGTTTGAAAAATCCACCAAATGCATTTAGAAAAATTATGTACTGGCGAAATAGCACACACCTACCTTAATTGAGTTAAAATTAACGAATATACAATGACGGTTCTCTGCAAAATGGAGCACGTAGAGTTGAATAATTAAATATCGAAGTGTCAAAATAGTTGTTTGACAGACCCGCAAGTGCACACTTAAATAACTCTTACAGATTCACGTTGTCACACACGATTTGATAATCATCGATCGTAGCACACTTACCGTAACATACGATTGATAACTTTCACCATAACAACATATTAGATAAAAGGTGCGCGAAGCGGCAGAGAGCGGCGAGTGTGGTCGAATTGGTAATCCGGTTAGTTGAATTCGTTGTACTCACGCCAGAGCCGCCGGTTCGATAATTATTCGAATGTACGCGTGGTTTCGCGGACCACAAGTGTACGCGGCGATAAACGAGCACATAATGCAACACGCGGCCCTCCTGCCCGCGAGTGACACACGTGCGCTAGTCCGCAGATCCTTCGTGCGAGACGCGACAAATTTAAAGATTCGCTCGTGACGTGTTGACTCCCCTTGGATCTGTAGCGCGATGTCACGTGTCGCGAGAGAGTGAATTGCGCGGATGGTGAGACACATTGCCAGCTGTTAACGTTCTACCGCGATCCGGTTACATCGGTGCCGATGATAACGAACGAGTTCAGCGTACACTCGTTGGTATTATTAAATCTCTTTCTCCTCGCTATTAAATTACGTACCGTTGTGTGTAGCTTCCCACAAAACAATATGTTATCAAAAAGATTTCTAAAAGATATCTCATTTCTGAACCTGATAACTTATAGAGACTTCTAAAAGGTAACATAAAGATGTCAGAATGTTCTCTAATGCGCCGGTTTTTGAGAACAGAAAGATATCATGAAAATGATGTCAAAAAGATTTCTCAAATCAGCTATCTTTAAGGTATTCAATGTTTGTCAACATATAGAGTTCTTGTTTATGATGTCTAAAAGAAATCAGATATATGTCAACATATAAATTTCGCATTTATGATATCTAAAAGATATTCTAATAATTTTTTGGGGAAAATTAATTTCTCATTATTATAATGTAATAAACATAAAATTTATTATACTGCACTATGCATACATAGATACAATTATATACAGTAGGTACAATATACAGAATATATTTCAAGGTGTTCTTTTTATAAACGATAAGTTTAAAGATACCGTTTCTTCCAAACGAAACAATATTTGTGTCAGCGCTAAGGTGATTATTTTAATGGCTCATAACACTTCGTAAAGAAACAAAAAACCAATGGAAAACCTTGCTAAATACAAAGTAGTAGTAAAGTAGGAGCAACTTACGAGGGCGACTGACGAAACAGTGCATAGACTTAACCGTTAACGAGGAACATTACAAAAAAACGCGCGAGTCAACTACAGAGTGCGTCTTTTTGCGAGTCCGTCGCGTCTATCGAGGTTTTCGATCTGCGAAGAGCTCGTCGCCTTAGGTTGAGCATTGTTTTTGCCACCAACCACTTTCGCATATGTAGCGCAGTGCGTCTACAAAGCCAATGATCAGGCAATGGGTGGATAACCGGTTGTGTGCGCCTCGATTCCAATCGTTTTCAGCGCCGCTTTGACGTTCGTCTCCGGGCTGGGCGCCATCCACGATGTTTTCTTGATCTTGGACATCTTTGTGGCGACCGGGCCGGGTAGGACGCACTGGACGACGATCCCTCTCGACGCAGCTTCCGTAGCAAGGTCGGCGCTGAGCTTACATGATCACGAGACACGGTAGTGTCTCGCGCCAAGTGTAAGCGTAGCTAGTACACGCGTGCGAGACCGACCGTGTAAGTTTACGCGAGTACACGAGTTGACGGGCCCTCAGATTTTCGGATCTCAACAACGGCTGATCCGACGAAATTGAGACTGCGCTTAATCGATAGCTTGGGTACGATTTGCATAATAAAAATGTTTTTACTTTTCTCCTACGTGCCCCAGGAGTGGAGGTATTACAATGCAATTGCAATGCAAAGTCAGTTTTGTGAAATTTCGGATTAAGAAACATCTTTGTCGTCCTCCCGGTCGTCGTCGTCGTCGTCGTCGTCGTCGTCGACCAGACCAGCATTTTCACTTGACTTTTCACTTAACCACGTTGCAATTGACCACGGTCCCGATCGACCACGTTGCAATTGACCACGGTCCCGATTGACCACGTTGCAACTAACCACGGTCCCG